AGGAGGAGGAGGAGGAGGGGCCTCCAGAGGCCGGAAACCTGGAAAAACCTCCCGTCAGGATCTTCTCATTGCCCGAGGGGGTCTGGGATTGGGCAGGAGCTTTCGAGGGTCCACTTTCGAGGGTCCGCGCTGATCCCTCGGAGCGGCGCCGACCTTCCGGAGGCTCCTCCGGAGAGCCCGCGCACCCGCCGCCGCGGGAGGCGGGCGCCCCCGGCCGCTCTCGCCCTCGGCAGCCCGGCGGCCCCGCCGGCGCCGCGCGGCCCCGTTCCGGCGGTGTGCGGCCGGTCGGCCGAAGTTTCTTCCTCCTCCTCCTCCTCCTCCTCCCTCCTCCTCGTCCTCGTCCCTTCCCCCTCCTTCTTCCGGGCCTCCTTCTCGCTCCCCCTCTCCTCCTCCTCCTCCTCCTCCTCCTCCTCCCTCCTCCTCCTCCTCCTCTTCCTCCCCCTCTGTTCTTCCTCCTCCTCTCCTCCTCCACCTCCCCTTCCCTCCTCCTCCCTCCTCCTCCTCCTGCTTTCTCCTCCTCCTCCTCGCTCCTCCTCCTCCTCCTCCTCCTCCTCTCCCCCCCCTTCTCGTAGTCCTCCAAGCTGTTCCTCCTGCTCCTCCACCAACCCGTCCAGGTCAGGGCTCCAAGCTGCTCCTCCTGCTCCTACACCAACCCGTCTGGGTCAGGGCCAACTCGGGTTGGTGTCTCGGGAATCCGAACCCGAGTGGCCCCGGGCCCGAGTTACCCCGGATCATTCGGGCGTCCAGGGCCCCGAATCATCAGGGGTAACTCGGGTCAGGGCCAACTCGGATCCGTGCCTCGGGAATCCGAACCCGAGTTGCCCCGGGCCCGAGTTACCCCGGATCATTTGGGCGTCCAGAGCACGGAATCATCAGGGATAACCCGGGTCAGGGCTAACTCGGGTTTGTGTTTCGGGAATCCGAGCCCGAGTTGCCCCGGGCCCGAGTTACCCTGGATACTTCTGGCGCCCAAGTTTTGTTTCGACTCCACTACACGTACCCATCGGTCGTTGAACGTAGGTATTTTGGGGTTCCCAGATTCCAATCTGCTTTGAGCGCCTTCCTACTTCAATTATCGAGTGGCTTCACCTTTTCCGTCCTCTCAGGGGGCGGACGGAGCCCAATCTGTTTTCAACGCCTTCCGACTTCATGTTTCTGCCTATTTCTTCCGACCGATGAGTAATTATGGGGGGAAGGAGTAGAGACACCAACACCAGGAGGAGGAGGAGGAGGAGGAGGAGGAGGAGGTCCGCACGGATCAGTAACGAGGGCCGCTGGGTTCTCCGGAATATTTGGAACCGATCTTCCGACCACGTGGTCCCCTTGAGAGGCCCTGCGGCGCCATCTGGACTACGATCTTCTCCGTCCCGACGTCGCCGATGCATCGCCGATGTGGCTCGATCTTCCGACCTCAGCTCGGGCCCCGTTGGGGTGGCCTTCGTCTTTGAGGGTCGAGGGATGCTTGTTGAATGTCTTCGGCTTTCTTGGAGGAGGCCCTGGAGTGCGGGGGGTGGGGGGGGGGGTCATGTTGTAAGTCTGGCCTGTCCCTCTACAGGAGGAATATACAATAATAGTAAAAAAGAGTACGGTTATGATTTTCTTTTACACAGAAATCTTATGGTTGCTTATTTTTGACTACTTTATAGTTTCCTTCCAATGTCCGCGTGTAGCAGGACATGCCCGACCTAAGGTCCCTGACATCCGGCCGCTCCAAATTTTTTGATGCATGGGCCCTGGAAGTCTGGACCACTTCCCTAGGGCCAGCTTTTCGTCCTGAATCGTTTTTTTACGCTCCCGAGGCCCGGCGAGGGCCCCCGGAGGCCGAAAACGGCAAAACACCGTCTTCTCAAATTTTTTGAAGCGTCGGATCTCTGGGGTCATGGGGGGCCCTTCAGGGGAGGTGGCGACCCCAGTAGTGGCCACGCCGCGCGGCACTGCCCAGAGAGCGGGAGGCCCCGACGAGGAGGTCGGTGATCTGGGCGAAGCGTCACGGCCGTCACAGCTTCCGCAATCTGGAAGACCATGCACCTCGCCACGACGAGAGGGGACCTTCGCCAGCGAGCGAGGTTCGAACGTCGAGGTTCGAGCTTTGCGGACGCTTTCGTCGGTTCTCGGCTGTTTTCTAGCCTCGGGATGCTTGCCAGAAGCTGCGCCTCGCCGAGGGCGTTACGGGGGTGTCCGGATTGTCCCGAACGGCCGCCAGAGGCCCGAGTTATGACCCGAAAACCGAACTCGGCGGCGAGCGAAGAGGGGGAATGAGAAGGAGAATGCCTTCTCGCCTTCTCAGAAGGCGGCGGGACTTCTCGGAAGCCCTCGCGGATGCTGAGAAGTGTTTTGCGTCTTCGGGGAAGGCTTCGGACTTACGAAACTTCTCAGAAGGCCGGGGCCCCCGGCCTTCTGAGAAGGCCGATGCATCGCCGAGGCATCGCCGATACATCGGCGATGCATCGGCGATGCGGCGCGATCCCTCGACCCCATCTACTCGGACCCCACCTAGGAGGCCTTACAAACAAATCAAAACAACAACAAAAAAAACGTGAGCGCACGGAGCCGAACGTTGCGCTGGGAAGGGACGCCCGAGCGCTGGCAGGGGTGCCGTGGTCTTCCGGCCGTCGCTCCCTGGATGACGAGAACGGCTCCGTGGACCCGAGCGGCCACGAACCCTGTGCGGAGCGGGACCCCGCTCTGCCGGTGCCCCTGTCTCGGGCCGGACGAAAGGGGGGGATTGGGAAAGGGAGGGTTCCGAAATCTGCTGCCTGCAGCTGGTTTCGGCCCCACCGAGGGGCCCATGCCTCCGAGGATCCCCCTTTCGCTATCCCCCCCTGTGCTATCCCCTCCTTTGCTATCCCCCCCTTTCGCCCGGCCCGACTGTCGCTGGCGGACATGCCCGCGGACGTCGGCCGGTGGTTCGAGGAGCGGCAGGGCCGGATGCTGCAGGACGCGCTCGCGTTCGTGCCCTGGATCCTGCAGCAGGCGTACCACGAGGACGGCATGAAGGGCGGGCGGATACTGATACACCGCGGCGGGGGCGCGGTGCTCTCCTCGGACGCCTCGGGCTTCACGACGCTGACCGACAGGCTGGCCCACAGGAGCAACGGCGCGGAGCTGCTGTCCCAGTGCCTGGCGGCGTTCTTCGGTGAGCTGCTGGCAATCATCAGCGACTACCGTGGGGACGTCATCAAATTCAGCGGTGACTGCCTCACTGTCTATTTTTAGAATGTCCAGGGCTTGCCAGGGGCTGGCTTCCTTTCACAACCGCCGAAACCCTCCCGAAATTCTCAGAAAACCATCCGGTAAGGGTCACGGGAGGCTTTTCGGATTTCGAGGGGGGGGAGGATTTTCGTAGTTTTGGGGGGAAGCCAGTCCTTAGCGGTCCCTGGGTTTTCTGAGTCCATTTCCCGGACTTCGACGACACCAAGTGCAGTGCATATCCAGTTGTTTGCGGCAAGCCCCGCCATCGCGCCAGCGCAGGCAGCGCTGGAGAAGTCAGGTTGAGTGTAACACCCGCTCCGGTTGAGCGCCCTCTATGCACTGGCGCGGGTCTTACACTCCCCCTTTTTGTCCTCAGACTCGTTCTCCTCCTCCTTCTCCTCTTCCTCCTCCTCCGGTTCCTCCTCCTCCTCCTCCTCCTTTCTCTTCCTCCCTCCGCCCTTGGGAGCTATGGGATTGAGGCGCGCACGGCTCCACTGGCCCCCCTCGGCTCCCTTTTCGTAGGTGAGCTGATGAGCCTCTGGGGCCCGAAGCGTCAGTGAGGGCGCAACCGCAGACGCCTCATCACCCACACGGGCGGAAGCGCATTGACCAGTCTCAGAGGAGGAAAAGGTACCCGTACCTCTCCCCCCTCGCCCGTTTTGCCCTCTTGGGGCCTGTTAGGAGGCCTCCGCTGGATTCGCCTCGAACTTCTGGTCAGAACGCACCTCGGGAGAGGTCCAGGTTAGCTGTATCGGTACCTTTCTGTCTCCCCAGAAGCGCTTTGACCAGTCGCGCACAAAAAGTTCAGCCGACCAGCAGGATGGGGTCGAAAGCTCTGGGGCAGAACAGGCAGTGCACGGCAACGGCCTGGACCTCGGAGACTCTCGATTCTTCCTCCTCCTCCTCTTCCTCCTCCCCCTCCTCCTCCGCCCTCCTCCTCCTCCTCCTCCTCCTCCTCCTCCTCCTCCTCCGCCCCTTGGATCTGATACGGCTCAGGGTTGGCACGTATCACCCCGCTCTTTGCTTCGGGTCTCGGAGCGCAGCTCTCTGACGCCTGCTGAGTGGATCGGCGCCGAATGTTAACCTGCGCTGCCGTCGGTCCGATATCATCCTGGAGAAAATCATCTTTTTGGGCACGTCAGCGGGGCACCTTGGGGCCGTCTCGGGGCTCCGTCGGGCCGTTAGTTATACGGGCGCCTCCTGGGGCCTCAGGTTATGATGTTTCAACCTACTTTAGCCTTGATCGCCAGAAAGAGTTTCGAGTACCAGAGAAGTACCGAAATTCGAGGGTTTTCACGCGTCGGGCCCTGGGAGACACCGTCTGACTCTGTTTCGACACTCTTTCGACACTTTTCCGGATGCTCCAATTTATTTCTGGGATGTGGTCCTTAAGTGCGATGGGAGCAACATAAGCCTCAGGGAGTTTTCTCGAGGCGAGCTTTAGCCCACCGGTTTCGGACGCCAGCAATATCGGAATGCATTTGTTCGGTTCATTTGTGATCGTTCTTTCGGCGTCGCTGGTCGCCTTTAGGGATCTGTCGGGGGGTCTCTGAGGAACATCTCTGGCCCGCTGGTGGCTCGTTAGGCCGTGCTGAGCTAGTCGTCGGACATACTGAACTTGTCGTGGAGCCACAGTTTGCCGTAATAGAGCGATGTGGATGCCGACCAGGGTGACGGGAAGCCAAATTAGGGCGGCGATTTTCGGGGGGGCACGCGTTGCGAGTGGGCGGGCCGGCCACAGAATAATTGAAAATGCCCTACCAGATAACCAACGAACAGTCGAACACCCCACTATCGTGCAGTCACGATGGCGGACAGAAGAACGAGGGGAGAGATCCCACCGCACGGCTCGTACGGTCATCCAGACTTGGGGCCGATGGCCACGGCGGTGCTGAGGGCATCCGCCTGCTGCTTGGAGATCCACAAGCGCTTCCACAACTACGACACGAGGGTGGACGGCGTCAAGCTCTGCCTCCACATCTGCAGGAAGAAAAAGCTACGCAAGCAGAACGTTTCGGCGCTCCGCGCGGACTCCTTGGATCTGCGCTGGACCCCCCTGGGAGTCGCGCGCGCCAGGGATGGGGGAGGCCCGCCGCCGATTCCACGCACCCGCGCGGAGCCTCGAGAACTTCTGCTTACCGCGCTGTTCCTTCTTCTGGCGTGGGCGTCGGCTGCGGCAGGGTACACATGCTCCAGGTCGGTGGGCAGAAGCCGCCGGAGTGCCGGCACCCCAGCTGCGACTACAGCGCGGGTGTGGCCAGACGTGCCCCTGGCCCAACAGGTGCCCCAGGAGTTCCCAGGAGGCCCCCACAGACGGCCTCTGGAGCACACCCCTCTCGAGAGGCCTGTGGGGGCCCCATGGGGGCTCCCAAAAGTGGAGGAGGAGGCGGCGGAGGAGGAGGAGGAGGAGGAGGAGGAGGAGGGGGAGGAGGAGGAGGAGGAGGAGGAGGAGGAGGAGGAGGAGGAGGAGGAAGAGGCAGGAGCGAAAAGCTGGCGGAGCACCCTGGGCCAGGGGCGCCTGCGGCAGCCCCCGGTGCGTCATCGTCGGGCAGGCCCTGCGGCAGGTCTCCTGGGCCCTGCGGCTGGCCAAGACGGGTCAGACGTGCCTGAGCCCCGAGGCCTGGCGCCACGTGGGCGGCTTCGCCGTGGAGGGGCCCGAGATCCTGGAGAGCCCCTCGTTTCACCTGCTCGAGGGCCTGGACTCACCAGCTCGAAGCACATCCCCATCCCCCCCCCTCCTCCTCCTCCTCCTCCTCCTCCTCCTCCTCCTCCTGCTCATCCTCCTGCCCACCACCCGCCACCCTCTCCTCGGATGTACACAGCTTCCAGGTTCAGGTTACTCTGTGCTTCTTACTAAGCGTGGGGGGTACCCCCCCGACGGGGGTCAACATCGCCTGGTCGTCGCGCTGCGACGGGGTCGGAGCGCCTTCGGCGTGCGGTGGCTGCCGCGCGACGGGGGTCGATGTGGGGCTGTCGGCGGGGGTGACGCCTACCCGACGCTCACAAAGAAACTCGGAGTATGTTTGGCATATATTGTTCGTTCACTGTTTTGCCGGTGGGCGCGGGCCCTCGCGCCCTCCCCCCCCTCCCCTCCCCGTGGAGCAGATTTGGGCTTTTTTGGGCGCCTCTTGCAGGCAGGTGGAGCCAGGCTCCCCCATGGGACGCACTGCTGCAACCAGTCGCATGAAGCAGAGGTCCGGACCCAGGCCCCCCACTCCTTCCGCCCACTGTCGAAGCGCCGAAGAAGAAGACGTTCATGTAATTACCGCGGTGCCGATCTTGAGGATCCCCTCAGTTTTTCTTGGGCACAGCCCCGAGATTGTCGTCGCCTTGGGCTTGCCGATCTCAGGGATAGGGATGAGTTCGACGTGAGTTCGAGGCTGGTTAGGACGACACCTACACGTTCCCGACGATCAAGCACGCCGCCAAGATGTTCGACTGCCGGCGAGATTACCAGTTCCAGCGCAGGGAGCTTCGCGTGATCCGGCGTTTCATCCCGTCCACCGTGTTCAAGCAGATCGAGTCCGACACGCTGGCGTACGTCAACGAGATGCGCAACGTCTCGACCTGCTTCGTCCACGTCGCGGTCGCGGATCTAATGACCGATGAGGGGCCCAAGCTGGCCCAGGACCTCACTTCTCTGGTGCAGACGTGCTGCTACCAGCACGAGGGAACCTTCAACAAGTTCCTCGCGGACGAGAGGGGCCTCAAGTTTCTCCTGGTGTTCGGCCTGCCCCCGCTGGTGCACACCGACGATCCCACCCGCGCTGTGCTGGCCTGCTTCGACATGGCAAAGGAGTTCCAGAACCTCAGGTTGGACGCCAAGTTCGGCATCACCACTGGCCGCAGCTTCTGCGGGCTCTACGGCAGCACCAGCAGGATGGAGTACACCGTCGTCGGGGAGCGTGTCAACCTGGCCAACCGCCTCATGATCCACGCGTCGCCAGGGATGATCCTGTGCGACGAGGAGACGAAGGAGCATGCCACCACGGAGATTATCTGGTACGCCCTGGCGGCCATCAATGTCAAGGGGAAGGATGCGGCTGTGAAAATCTTCTCTCCAGAGAAGAAGCCCCAGGCGGAGTACATTGGGCTGCACGAGAACACCATCCACTTCCCGTGGTACGACAACCCTTTTGGCGGCATCTCTCTGTCCGCAAAGTGCGACGCGTCCACCTTCCACACGAACATGCTGCAGCTCTGCAGCGTGAAGACGTGGGACGGCATCCAGCAGGTGCAGAAACTGCTCGGCGGCCAGTTCAACAAGGCGCTCTACCTAAGCGACCGCGACCGCCACACACTCCATGACTCCTCGAAGGCGGAGCCGTCGCTGAAGTCGATGAAGACAAGCGCCTCGATGATGGGGCCTCCAGAGAACAGCCCCTTCAGACATGGCGGCGTCGTGGTCATCGCGGGCGATACCGGCACGGGGAAGATCGAGCTCGCCGAGCACATCGTTGCTCAATCGTTGATGCGCTTTCGGATGCTGCCTGTCTTCGCCACCATGGGCCCCAGGCCGTGCGGCGGCAATCGAGCGGTCTCGGAGCTGCTAAGGAGCATCCTTGGAGTCTTTCGCCACCTCGACCCCTCTGTGCCGTCGGACGATGCCCAGGCGCTCGCGCGGGTGATCCCCGAGTCGGAGGCGCACAACCTTCCGAGGCTGCAGAGGGCGGTCTGCGAGAGCTCCTGCGCGGACATGCCCGGCTTCAGCGAGGCCGAGCTCGGCTCCGCCTGCGAGCTGCTGTCGGCCCTCGGCGACCAGACGTCGATCCTGATCGTGATGCAGTTCGAGCACGGCACGAGCCGCTTCCCGTGGGCGCTCAGGGAGGACCTGGGCAACTTCTGGAAGATGGTGGACACGCTGACCGCGAAGCAGACAGCGGCACAAGCACGGACTCCCGGGGGGCCCGCGCGGAGTTCTCGGGTCCGCGCGGGGCCCCTCTCCCCGGCGCGCGGAGCTCTGCGCGCCAGGGGGGCCCAGCGCCGATCCGGGAGATCCGCGCGGAGCTCCGACAGCAGTTCGTGCTCATGCCGTGTTCTGCTCCTCGAGCTGAACCGCCTGGTCGCCGCGCATTCGGGCGCGGGCGGTGCCGCCGAGGGCAAGGAGCCGATCTGTATGCTGCTCCTCGTCAAGGACGTCGTCGCGGAGAGCCCGGCGGTGCAGGACGCGTACCTGAACCTGGCCCTCGTCGGCCTCGACGAGGAGAGCCTCGCGCAGTACGTGAGCATCTACCTGGGCGTCCCCCTGGAGGCTCGGAGTTCAGGGCGGCGAGACCTGTAGCCTGCCACCCCCGCGGGACCGGGGCCGCGGCGGTGGATACGTGGGATATGTGCAGGTCTCGTCGCCCTAGGACTACGTCGGGCACGTCCCTCTACGGGAAAAGTATGCAACAATAGTCCAAACATAGTCCGGGGACGATGTTTTGCTTATTCTATAGGCTTGCGCCACATCCGCCGACCCCTTGAATGAGTCGGGCACCCTATTCCTGGGACTGACGCCGCGAATCAACATGACTGTTACGTCATGACAACCTCTGGGGCTTCACCACCGCAAATCAACGTGACTGCTGCGTTCTGACAATCCGAAGTCGCACCAGAACACCATTCCCGGGACTTCAACCTCAGGAATCCTTGGAACTGCTAGACACTTGTGTGACGACTGTGTGCGGCGCTATGGCGAGAGCCACATTTTGAAAACAACCCACCCTCCGTCCTTGAAACCGTTACGAACTTTGAAGACGAATGTGAGCGGCGCAGCGGTTGCATACTTCAACTTAAGGGTCATACATTGTCAGGAGGTCTCCAGCGAAACGCCTGGCCCGCCCTACCGACTCGTCGTGAGGTGCAACAGGGAGGATGTAGTTAGAAGGAAAGGGATGGAGGAGGAGGAAGAGGAGGAGGAGACAGTCGGAGGAGGAGGAGGAGGAAGAGGCAGGAGGAGGAGGAGGAGGAGGAGTGCGGCGAAGGAGACTGTGTTGGAGATGTGCGAGTGAAACAGAGAAGCCAGTAATACGAGTGAGCGCAGAGGAAGCGAACCGCAAGAGGGAAGCGGAGGCGGAAGCGATCCTGCTGACGTGCGCGGCTTGCGGATATTCGTTCGCAGACGCGACACACTTGAAGAAAGGACAAGGCGAAACACACCGAAAGACGGAACAGAAGTGTGTGGTGAGCGCGGATTGCGCGCGCTTGGGTTTCTCGGTGCGCAGTTGGCAGGCGTATCAGTGCAGCGGCCCGTGCCAGAAGAAATTGCGGAAGTCGGCGTTCTCCGCGGCCAGAAGCCACGTCGCTCGCGACGAAAAAAGGGCACCCTGAAGTGCAAGACATGCAGCTGATGCGTATGCGGGTGGCCAGTTGTGGAATCGAGTCAACAGTGGCGCTACACGCGCTGAGCTCGGTGGCGAGAGGACGAAACCAAGGAGAAGGACAACGCTGAGAAGGAGGAGGAGGAGGAGGAGGAGGAGGAGGCGGGGAGAGGGAGGAGAAGGGTCAGGCGCAGGAGGAGGTGGAGGACAAGGAAGAGGAACAGAAGACAGATGGAACATTCTGACCTGGTCTCGCAGCCCTTCAGATCCGTGCAGGACAATTCTGCCCCTCCCCCGAAAGCATGTTGTCACCCGGACGGTGAAATCTGCCACGGCGTCTGGTCCATCCCGGCACGGTTTTCGGATGGCGGATGGGGCAGGTAGCGGTCGAAGCAAAAGAGGAATGGCTATCGAATGGCCTTTGGTGCATCCCGCCACCGTGCCTGGGTTGCGGGTCAGAGGACAACCGGATGGCTGATGAGGTCTCGTGAGGAGCCTTTGCTGGGCGGGTTGGAAGGCAGGTTTGAGGCCTCTCGAGGGCCTCTTGGGTGCCTTGTCGAGCCTTCTCCGAGCTCCCTGGGAGTTATTTGGGGCAACCTGGGGGCGGCTGGGGACCGAGGGCTCGAAAAGTATCCCTCTGGGACCCCTCTTGGGGCCGTCCTGGGGCCCTCTTGGGCTGTCTTACGGGCTTATTGGGCCATCTTGGGATGCTCTTGGAACCCTCTTGGGGGCCCCTTGGGCCGGCTGGGAGCGATATTGAAGGCTTCTTGGGCCGTCTTGGACGCTATGAAAGGCGAAGAGGCGACTATGCTAAACATGCGCATTTTCCCCAAAGGAAACAGGACGATGTTTGGTTCTTGGGGCCCTGTTGGGACGCATTTGGGGGCCTCTTGGAGCGTCTTGGGGGCCTCTGGCGCCGTCTGAAGGCAATCTTTGGCGTCTTGGAACGATCTTTCGGCGACTCGTAGCTCTCTTGGACCGTCTGGGGGGCCTCTCGGACCTTGTTGGCCCGTTTGGGGACCCTTTTCTCCCCCATGGCGCGTTCGGGCCGGGCGAAGGGCAGAAAACGCGCGCGTTGCAGCGTGGCCGCGTTTTGGAAAATCAGAAGGCGCCCCCTTCCAGACAGCGGGACACTGCGTTCCCTCAGCGATGCTCCGATGCTCCACAAAAAAACACATGAGTCGGGCCTGTCCCTCTACAGGGGGAATATTTAAAAATAGTCAGAAAATCGTCAGGGGACGTTTTTTCTAGTATGTTTTACTATGTTTGAGGATTTGTTGGTTATTTGTGATTTTTTCGTCCAAAGTCCCCCTGTAGGGGGACACGCCCGACCTAACCCTGGCTCCAGCTGGACCTGCTCCAGCTTGACTCGGCATCGCCCAACTGGGCCCCACCCCAGTGTTCACTACGACTCGTCCGATCCGATTCGATTCGAGTTCGATGGCTTCCGATTCCGATTCGTTTCGATATCGGATTCTGATGTGAATTTCGATTTCTCGATGGAGGCCTCATTCGCTTGCCGATTGATGCCGATTGGACGTCTCCCGACTCGGCTGCCGATTTTTCGCCAATCCCATTCATGTCGATCGCCGACCTGGCTTGTCTATTGTGAAGGCCTTACGGCCGGTGCCGCCGACCCTGAAGGTTTTGGCCGTCGATGGCGACGGGATGTGTGATCACAGGAAGTAGCTAAAGGACAACGTGTCAGGGTAGGTGGAGGAAGTGTGTGAGGAGGAGGAGGAGGAGGAGCAGCAGGAGGAGGAGGACGAGGAGGAGGAGGAGGAGGAGGAGGAGGAGGAGGAGGAGGAGGAGGAGGAGGAGGAGGAGGAGGGGGGGGAGACAAGCGAAAAGGAGATGGAGAAGGTGGCAAAAGACGCTCAGGAGGAGGAGGAGGGAGGTGGTATTCTAACCCGGGACCCTCCCAGGACCCCCCCTGGGGACCCCCCCAGGACATTCCTTGGGACTCCCCCAGTACTCCCTCCGGGCTTCCCCCAGGACCCCCCCCCCCGGGCCGGGGAAGGGAACAAAGGGAAGGGGAAACCTTTCGAGTCAATTTACTTTTACGCAGGACGAAGAGATGAAGGAGGAGGAGGAGGAGGAGGAGGAGGAAGAGGAGGAGGACGAGGAGGAGGAGGAGGAGGAGGAGGAAGAAGAGGGGGGGAGACGAACGAGAAGGAGATGGAGGAGGTGGGCATGGGAAGGAGGCACGGACGAGAAGAACACCACATTCCACACGCCGACAGGGTCGGCGGATTTTTGACCATGTTGGAGTAGACTTTGACTATTTCTAATTTGTCGTCCAAAATCCGCCTGTAGGGGGTCATGCCCGAGCTAGCTAGAGATCTCGCCGCCCTAGGAGGCGACAAAAGCGGCATCAGCGCAAGATGTTGTAGCTTCGCACGGACTTCTTGGATCGACGCTGGCCCCCCCCGGCGTGCGGAGCGCGTCAGGGAGGGGGGCCCAGCGCCGATCCAAGACATCCGCGCGCAGCTCCGAAAAGTGAACGGTAACTAGTGTTTCTTCCTCTGGAGGCGGTGGACCCGGAGCTCCAGAAGCTCGTGTCCAGGGTGACCCAGGGCAACCCGCTGCACATCCGGGAGATGATCTCCGAGCTGCAGCGCACGCACCTGACCTTTACTGAGGGGCCCAACAAGCAGACTGTCCGGGTCGAGTGCATCGACCCGGACAAGATCGATATCTCCTCCTGGCAGCACACCGCCATGGTGTCGGGCACCGTCTGCCAGCTCGAAGGGCTGGACCCGCGGGAGGCTGCGGTGGTCAAGATGGGCGTGTGCTTCAAGGGCACCTTCACACTGACCGACCTCGCGGCCAGAATGTGCTCGCGCTATGCTGGCTCCACGCGGCTTGACCAGCTGCTGCTGTACAGCAAGATGCGCGAGCTGGAGAAGCGAAAGTTCATCGAGCGCGTTACGGAGACCCGCCCGACGTGGGTCTCGCGGCACTCCTCGCAGCTGGACGCCTCGAAGCGGATGTCGCAACTCAGCGGCCCCAGCTTTGCTGCCGCCAGGCGGACGGCCCCGTGCTTCAGGATGACCAGCAAGCTCATCAGCTCCGTCGGGGGATCCATGGTGCTGGAGGCGCAGAAGAAGGCGGTCAAGCGGCAGGCCCTGATCGAGCGTGTCCTGCAGGAGCGGCAGGGGTCCCTGATCTGCGACGCTGGCGCGCACAGGACGGGGGCGCACATCCCGTGGTACTACGAGCAGGCCTTCCTGCGGATGCGGGATGTCCAGGCGCAGGGCGAGCTGTCGGAAGGGGGCTGGCAGCCTCTGGGTACCGATGGCACCGGCGGGTCGGGGCCCGAGGCAGACGGCCAGCCGCAGAGGCAGTGCTGCTCCATGTGACCTCGCACTGGTCTGCCTGGCGCATCCGTCGCTTCGCGGACCCTGGATCCCGCCTTCCTCAGGGGCAACGTTTTGGGAGGGATGGGCTCAAGCTACAAGTTGTCCTACAACACTCCAGATGTCGTGCTTAACCTATTTACGCATGTCCATATGGGCTCAAATTTTGTGTGGATCCAGATGAGGCGTCAATCTTTGCTATGATATAGAAATCAAAACAGAGGGACGCATTGACGCCGAATCGCCCACGGATCGCCTGCAGGGGCCCGACAGCCCACCCCACCCAGGGCCGCCGCGCGGATGCGCTGTCGGGGGACTATCGCCGATACCTCGGCGACGTATCGCCGATTCCAGCTCGATGTTCCCTCCGCCTGAGCCGGTCATACCCCCTAACGTTGCTCCGCACCTCTCTGCCTGTGTTACGCTCTCCCTCATCCTCGGCACCTGCCGGGACGTCCAGAGCCATGCGACGCATGTACTCAGGAGTCGCGGCCGCATGCGACACCTGGTGTGCAAGCGTTCGCGATACGGCGAGAACATCCGAAGCGATGCCCTCATGCGCCGCATCGCGACAGAGTTTGAAGTCTGGGCGCCAGCGCCGTGCCGAAATAGGCGGAGGGAGCGTCGCGACGCGACCCTCCACCCTTTCCCTCGTTCGGTCTTATCAGGGGTTCCTTTGTCCTCGTCCGAGTCCCACGGCCATGCACTCCTTGGACACATGCGCATCGCCGCCGTTGGACCAGGTGGGCTTGAAATCTTGTCGTGTAGATTCCGCTGGCTCCAGCCCTGCGTGTTGGGCTGCTCCCCGGAGCAGGGGCGCGCGTGAGAAGTTCACGGTTACAGCCAGTCGACTCGGAAGATGAGGTCGTGGTGTGGGGGCGGTGGTGGTGGGCTGATAAGCAAGGGCTCCCACGAGGGCGCGAAGTCATTCGCGCTTCGCGCTTCGCGGTCCTCATTCCTTCTCCCCGTCCTCCTCGTTCTCCTTTTCTCCCTTTGGGGGGGCGGCGCGAGAGCGCGAAGTTATTCGCGCTTCGCACTTCGCAGAGCGCGAAGCGCGAAGTTGGGAGCCCTAGATAAGCTCAAGGGCGGGGCATCGTTAGGGGGGGCATCGGCTCAGGGCGGGATGCATCGAAGCCCTGACGTCCATTCATCGCCGACAGGGGCCCCGGAGCCCACCCTCCCAGGAACCTGCGGGTTCGCTAACGGGGGCCTGTCGACGATCTCTCGGCGATGTATCGCCGATTCCTGCTTGGTGCTTCCCCTGCTGAAGCGGCCCCCTGATGGCTTCTGGGTTGTTGCTCGGGCCTCCGTCGGCCGTTCGGGGCGATCCAGGCACCCCGAGAACGCTTTCGGCGAGGCGCAGCCGCCTGGATGCATCCCTGAAGCTGGAAAGCCACCGAGATCCAACGAAGACGTCTGGAACCCTCGAACCTCTAAACTCAAGCCCTCGACCCCCGAGCCCCCGAACCTCGAACGTGTGGAAACCTCGAACCTCGAACCCTTGAACCTCTGGCCCCGCAGCCAGGGAGGACGGGGAGGTCTCGCTCGGCCCAGGGGCGCCTCGCGCGCGCACCTTCGACGGCCCGATGCGGCCCGGTACTCGCATGTGGCGCTGTGGTGCAGCCTGGCGCAGCCGATCCGATTCGATTCCGACTCCACGCCGATGCAGCCCGATCCGGCGAAGAGCTCGATTGCCAGAGTGAGTTTCTGGTAACGTCGACCCCTGGAGGTCTCGACCACATGCCCCTGGACTGGTTTCTCATCCGGAGTCGTTTTCTCACGGTCCCGAGGCCCAGTCAGGGCCCCCAGAGGCCGAAGATAGCGAAAGATCTCCAGTCGTGACTTTTTCTTGACTCGAGGGACTCTGGGCTCGATCCGATTTCCCGATTCCATGCTAGCCGATCCTGGCGCGCGGTCGCGCGACGGAGGGAGGGTCCCTGAAGGCCCTGTTTTCCACCATCACCGCCATAAGTCGGAGGGGGGAAGGAGGTGGAGGAGGAGGAGGAGGAGGAGGAGGAGGAGGAGGAAGAGGAGGAGGAGGAGGAGGAGGAGGAGGATGATGATGATGAGGAGGAGGAGGAGGAGGACGAAGAGGAGGAGGAGGAGGAGGAGGACGAGGAAGAGGAGGAGGAGGAGGAGGAGGAGGAAGAGGAGGAGGAGGAGGACCCCCTCCCCCTCCTACTTGTTGTGGCGGCGGTGGAAGACGAGCCCACCGGCCCCGCCCCGCACTGCGCGGCCGCAGGCCCTGGCGCAGAGCCGGCAGCCCAGCCTGAGCCCGCTGGTGCCGGGGGCCGAGCAGTGGAGGAGCTCCTGCTCCTCCTCCTGCTCCTCCTCCTCCTCCTCCTGCTCCTCCTCCTGCTCTTGCGTGCGGCAGTTGGCCCCCCAAAGTCCGAGGGGGGGCCCGCCACCTTTGCGAGCCGCGCCGCGCGCACCGACGCGCGCCCACGCACGTGCTCGCCCGGACCCCGCGGCTCCGCTGCTCTTCCCCACCGTCTGCCGCCCGACGCCCTCCGCCAGCCGCCGCCAAGCCGCCCTTTTTCGGTACTTCCTTGCCTGTTGTCGTCTTCTTTCCTCCACCTCCTCATCGTCCTCCTCCTCCTCCTCCTCCTCCTCCTCCTCCTCCTCCTCCCCTCCTCCTCCTCGTCCTCCTCTTCCTCCTCTGGCCCGTCCGCGTTGGTCGCAGGCGTCGGCGCCGGCGCCCTTCCTCAGCCTCGTCTTTGCCGTCCTCCTCGCCGCCCTCCCTCCTCCTTCTCCTCTGCGGCCTTTTTCTCTGCCTCTCGTCCGCCGCCTCGTCTAGCGCGTCCTCGTCCTCGCCTGCGCCCGCCTCCACCTCCTCCTCCTCCTCCTCCTCCTCCTCCTCCGCCTCCTCCTCCGGGGCGCTGCTCCGCCTCAGCGCTCCCCGCCCTCAGGCCTGCCTCGCCCGCCCGGGGCCTCACCTGGAGCCCGCCAAAGACTTGTTGTCCGGGCGGACGTAGGCGCTGGCGATGCGCCAGGTCACCGAGGCCTGCAGGGCGTTGCTGACCTCCTGCCAGAGGCCCGCCGCCAGCGCAGACGCCTTGGCCTCGCCGCCGGCCATGGCAGCCAGCATGCGGATGACCGCCTGGGCGCTCTCGCCGGGGCGGCCTCCGACCTCCATGACGCACGGGGAAATATTCAGTCCCGCGTAGCGCCGCCTCTTGGCCCTCTCCTCCTCCTCGGCGGCTGCCCCGTCCCGGCTGGCCGCTACCCGGACTCGCGGCGGGTCTGCGCGCGCTCCTACGACGGCGACGTCGATGGAGACGCGCCAGCCGTCGTAGTTGAAGACGACGTCAAGCACGTCGGCCGGGTCGTCGTCGGCCGCCGCGTCTGCCAAGGCCGGCGCCCGCAAGCTCTCCAGGCGCTGCTCGCGGAGCGCGCGAGGGTCGATGTGTTCCTTCACGACATGCCACCGACCACGCCCCCGCCGATTTTGCACCCCTTCTGAGTGCAGAAGACCAGCAAGCCCGTCCAGCTGCGCCCCGCAAGCACCCCGAGGACCGGAGTGGCGACAACGTCTCCGCATGCGCTGGAATGACTATGTGTTCAACTGTGCACAGCAAGCGCCTGCGCAGGGCCATCCGCCAAACTGCATCTGCGATGGCTCGGGTGCCGGGCTGCGGCACGCACAGGAAGCTGCCCGCACCGGCGCCGTCTGCCTGCCTCAGGCGCGCTCGGTCTGGTTCCTGGACTCCGTCGAGGACAAGCGCGCGCTCTGAGAGAGATCGCGTCCATGAGCGCCTTCTGCATGCGCTTGGTGGGCTCCTTGGTGAAGTCCAACATGTGGTCGTCAAGTCGGCTCTCGCCTTCTCCAGCTCCGCCGCGAGGCTCGGGAAGGCGTCGCGCAAGCCCTGCTCTGTGTGAAGGGGGGCCTCCGCGCTCTGCCGCCAGAGGTGCTGGCGCCAACCCGCGTGGAAGGCAGCGGCCGCCCGCGGCGCGGCCCTTCCAAAGGCGGCGCCGCCGTCGCGAAGCGGCAGGTCGCCGATGGCGATTTGCTCAGGAGTCAACGGGACGCCGATCATGTCAGCCCCGGCGTCTGCGACCTCCTTGTCGTATTCCGCGAGTGCCCGTTCACTCCAAAGGCGCGAGCGGATCAGGTGCTGCGGCGCCCCGACTGTGAGGTACCGGAGGATGGCGCCCGCCACCTGGCAGCAAAGACCGCGGCTCCTGGCGTCCTTGAGGGTGGCCCCTGTGGAGCGCACCAGCGCCGCCGCTTTCTGCATGTCCTGCTCGGAGTTGCCGAAGCCTGCCGCCAGATCGTCCTCCCGGTCGTGTTTGTAGAGAGTGCACCCCAGGACGGGAAGATCGGGCACCACCGCCTGGTGTAGCGTCTGCGGGAGGGTCTGCGCTGCCTCCGGCGAAGCCAGCCACACCTTCGTTTTCTCCGGCGCGCACTGCAACCCGACCCCCGCGAGCCCGTGCGCGAGCACCTCGTGCGAGGCCGACAGGTTGGCCGCAGGCCCGACAACGAAAATGTCGTCCGCGTAGGCCACAAGGCTGGTCCCGAGGCCGCGCCGGTTGAGCTCTCCCTGGGTCCAACACGCCCGCCAGGGTCACGCAGAAGAGGAAGGTGCTCAGAGGTCATCCCTGTGGGACGCCTGTGCCCTGCGCGATCCATACCGTATCGCCGTCGGCGGAGCCGAAAGCGTTCCGAGTGGTGGCGTTAAGCAGGCGGTCGGTCAAGGGGCTCATCCACGGCGTGCGCGCCAGCACTGCTGCTTGAGCGTCCGTCCGGCGCACGGTGCCGTAGGCGTTCTTTAAGTCCAGGCTGAGCACGCCGCGGGAGTTTCCAGTCGCCGCGGCCAGGCTGAGCGCCTTGAAGGCCGCGTCGGCGCCGCCAGCACGTCCGAGCGCGAACTGCATGCCTCCGACTGCCTCTTGCACTTCCTGCCGCTTGCACCGGAGCAGGGCTCGCAGCGCCAGTCTCCGGAGAAACGCGCCGACCGCGATGGGGCGGAGGCCGCCGCTGCTTTATCTGAAAGCAAACA